AGCTTTTGAAAATTTCGGGGCAGTTTGGCATTTTCCGTAATTATATTAGAAAATATACTTTTTATTCAAATTTATTAGTACAATATTTTATTTTCACAAATAAAATACAATGTGTTACATATATAAAAAACGGAAATATTGGAACGTTTAAAATTGTTTAAAAAATTATTTGTGACGTTTGAAAAAAATAACATGTTCTATTCGGAGCTTTGAATAAGAAGACTAAGGAAGGAGCATAATGCTATCCATGTATTCATGCATGGTGGGCGGAAAAAGCACCATAAAAGCTCTCTAGGGTGGGGATCCTTGACAGTTCTGTTTGACGATTCATTTGACACATTTGAATTTGATTTGAAATTTTGTGGATTTGTCAGTCTTTACGGAGATTATTTTATGTTATTTATTATTTATTCTACTACTGATAGTTGTCTAAAGGTAGTAAATCTAGATGGAAATTGTGACAGCACTTAAATTAACAGTGACACTATCGCGATTTATCGAAAAAGACTCTAAAATAGTTGGTTGTGTAGCGTGCGGTAGATCTCGGCAAAAATTGAGTGAAATAATGGAACAACTTTTCGCTAGTAAGTGACTATATAATATACATACGTGTAGTAAACCGATCATTTATGAAATTCACTTAAATTAACTAAATTCACTTAAATTAACATTATATTTTTCTTGCATTTTAGCTTTTATTTATTACTTGTCAAAGATTATTATCAAAGAATATACCTAGCTAGAAAAAGAATGGACTCTGCCATACTGAAATATGGTCCTACAGAAGTGGCGCCATCTATTGAGTAGGGCTTGTTTTAAATGGATCGAAGCGCGGGCTTTTTAAATGAGCGTATTTATTGAATTCTACTCTAAAATATATAATTAAATTTGATTATTAAATCTTATTTTTTACACAAATTCAACAATACTAATAACAAGTATCGTTGTGATGTGTAAAAAATAAGATTTAACAGTATAATTTATACAATTATTAAATAAAATTAAAGCCAAACATGTGTAAATATTATTTATTATTTAAAGATATTAATTATAAGTCAAATATTTAAACATCGTTTATTATAATAAAACAAGACCAACGTAATACGCCCAAAATTTTGTAAATGAAGTAAATATAAATAGGTACTTAAATGATAGCAAAAATAAATGACTTACATTATATTTTTAAGGCCACAAACAAAATGAATTGTCTAATAAAAACACATATAACAAATTAATTTGAAAAACGTTTTGATGGTTTTGATAATTATTTTTGATAATATTATGATTGGCGCTCTGACAACGACAATATTTTTTGAGAATTTGACAATAATATGACAATGGCCGTTGGAAACTATGGAAACTACAAAAAAAATCTGATTGAACGCCACCTGGCAATAACTAGTAGCAACTTTTTAACCTAAAAATTAATTGCACTACCACCTAGCGCCCGAGGCTGGAGAACTATTTTATATGAAATTTCCTTGGAAACGGTGGAACCGCTTTTGCTATTTCACTTTCCGGCCCCTGGATTATATGTCAAAGAATTTAGATATGTTAATTTGACTTACCTGCTTCAGTAGCGTATCGGATGTTTGTGGTAATAAATACTTATTATAACTTATCTATTTTTATTAGAATTATATATTTTTATAACAATTAACTACCAACATTTATTCACAACGTAAAATAAAACAACAAATTATTGAGTCTACCCCACGTCTACCCTACATCATAGTTTTACATTTTTTTAAATAAAATTAGAACGACACTGATAAACCGGAATTTAAGTCGGCCATATTTGAGGCCCATCGCGGTGTACCTAAAATTTTTGATATGCTCCTTCCTTAGTCTTCTTATTCAAAGATTCGGAGTAAAAATGACTTTTTGTGCCTCGCCTGTCAACCTGTAGCGCCTGTCAAACGTACAGCCTCGCCACAAAAAGTGTCATTTTTACTCCTAATACAACAATATACTATTTTTTGAAACCCCAGAAAGGTATTAATTTTTGCGACGTGATTGACAATAGTCATTTTATTGCCTATGAATAAAATTAAAAAACATGCAACTAACAAAAACATGTCCAGAGTTACAAACAAGAATTAAAAATACCCAATAAAATATCTATTGAACAATATAAAGAGGCTACGTACAAATTATGCCCATCAATGGACGTAGCAAATTTTATTAATAATCAAATTTCACAAATTAATAAATATCTGCTACAGGAAGAAGATTCACCGTTGAATTTAAATACAAATATCGGCCCGAAATTATATACAAGACGCTTTTGACAAATCTATTTTGCCTTCCATGTCTAGAGACACTAAGAAAATTAATATATGACATTGATATCAAACCTGGTTTAGAAAATCCTAGTGTATTGGAGACTCTAAAAAAATAATTTAATTATTATTAATTTTAAACTTCTAGAAGTTTAAAAATCAGAATGTACCAAACAGTGATAAGACCAATAGTGGTGTATGCATGTGAAACGGGGACGTTCAATGCAACGGAAAGTTCGAGGCTAGAGATTTGGGAAAGAGAAATACTGAGGAAGATTTTTGTAGGAAAGAAGATAGACAACATATGGACCAGAAGAACAAATGAAGAAGTAAAGCAAGTATATCGGGCACCGAGTATAAAGGAAGTAGCAAGAGCACAAAGACTGAGATGGCTGGGACACATTGAACGAATGGCCGAAGCAAGAATTCCTAGTATGATAATGAAACGTGAAATAGGTGGAAAGAGAAGGAGGGGTAGACCGAGAATCAGATAGAAAAAGGATGTAGAAGAGGACTTGAAAAGGATAAGAGTGGATGGGTGGAGAATAAAGGCGAAAGACAGAAACAAATGGAGAAAGATAACCAATCAAGCCATGAGCCTTTTAGGCTTTTAGAGCTATTTATATATATTATTAATTTTATATTATTAATCGATATTGATGACGCACGCTATTGATTCAAAGCTGCCGCAACTGTCTGTTGTCGATGACAAAAACTACGACACTGGTTACTTTCTGTTGTTGGACACCCAAATGGCGGCGTGCGCAAGGATATGCGCGTAGCGTTCCCGCCAAAGAGAGTTAGCGTGCCGATTGTTTTATATGCCGTGCTATTATTTTATATCAAAACATGTATGAAATCTCTAAAATACAGGGTGGCCCATCGAAAACGTTCCGCAAGGCATAACAGCCAGGGTATTTTTTTTTAAAAAATCCAAAAACACGTCAATTTTGTTTGTGAGGGGGACAACTTTTACCCCAAAAATGATTGCAAAATCTTCAACCTTCTAAGCGGGGGTGTCATCCCCCAACTTTTTTCAAATGGGAAGGAGGGTCAAGTGGCGTCTCAATGAAAAGGGCTTTCTATTCTCTATATTTCCCCACTTCGTTTTTAAAAATCGGTCGAGTCATTTTGAAAATATGAAAGATTGAAATTTGAAAAGTACTTTTTGCAAAAAACGCATAAATTGAATTAATTAAAAAAATATATCTTATTAATGAACCAAATGCTGAAAATGTTGCTCGTCAACCTCCATACAGTAAAACAAATTATTTTCAATCCGTTCTAGAATATTCTGAAGAACTTGCGGGGTCACTTTTCGACAAACATCAATAATTCGTCTTCGCAGGTCTTCTAATGAGGCGGGTGGAGTGCTATACACTTTACTTTTTATGTGTCCCCATAGAAAAAAGTCTAAAGGAGTCAAGTCAGGTGACCGGGGAGGCCACTCAATTGCACCCCTCCGTCTTATCCACCGAACTTCTTGTCTAGATTATACGGAATAAGGAACCTTTATTCTTCCGCAAATATATCCATAGGATTAGATCCATGGGCACTAAGTCAGGCGGCCTCGACGGCCAACGGCTGGGATCTTGGTAAGCTATTCAATTATTCTTGAACTTTTAAAAATGCTGTATTTCGAAGGGATTATAACAAAATATCAAGTGTGCTATATTTTTGGAAAGGTAATTTTAAATTCTTTACAGTTAATTGAAAATATAGAGGGTGTCCCAAATAAAAAATCAATTTTTCTGTTGATAAATCTTAAATTATTAAATTTAAAAAAATTATACTTAAACCATTAAATTCTACGTAAATAGGTGCTTTGGAAATGTTTTCATAGAAATACAAAATTTTCCATAGGAAAAGAGTTACGGCGATTTGTTAAAAATGCACATTTTTGAAAAACACCCCGTAACTCCGAAACGGTAACAGATATTGATGTGTGGTTTTCACCATCATGTTTTTGATGAAAACTGAGCTCCAGACACCGATATTAGTTTTCGTCTATCTCCTACAGAAAAGGGCGTTTCCATTTAAAAGCGTCGAATTTGACCCACCCTGTACACTCTACCTAACCTGATCGTTCAACCTTGGGGCAAGTGAAAAAATGCGTAAACATCTAGAAATAATAAGAAAATAGCAAATTGGTCGAAGGAGCCTTATCACTTACTCTGATAAATGTTTAAATAAACTTTTCAAATTTCAATCCTTCATATTTTCTCAATGACTCCACCGATTTTCAAAAACGAAGCGGGAAAGTATAGAGAATAGACAACCCTTTTCATTGCGGTACCACTTGACCCCCCTTCCCGTTTGAAAAAAATTGGGGGATGACACCCCCGCTTAGAGGGTTGAAGATTTTGCGATCATTTTTGGGGCAAAAGTTGTCCCCCTCACAAACAAAATTGACGTGTTTTTCAAGATCACCAAAAGCACTTGAAAATTATAATAAATCGAAACAATAAAATAACTTTAACCCCTTACAGCTACGTAACAAACCAAAAAATAAATCTTATTTTTATGTGAAGAATCCAGCCACGAAAGATGGCACATGTTTTTTGAAACACCCTGTATACGACCCAAGTGGTGTCCATGTGTATTTGATCCACTTAAACCGTGTCAACTAGGCTTAATTAATAGACATTATCTTCAAATAAAAGGAAAAATAATACACGGCAAAAATTACTTTAGTACTTTATATACGGTGCGTTTAAATATTTGAAATAGCATCATTACTCTAAAAACAAGATTATTTAACCTTCATTATTTTTTTTACTCTCCTTCAGTTGCTGATGAGCTTTTTACACTTTCTGCTAATTGTTTCCATCTCTGCAGATTTTCCTCGCACATTTCCAATAGCGGTTTGCATTCCGGAATCAGTTCGGAAAGAAGTCGATAACACGGCAAGCATATCCCGTTCAGAAACCCTACCTGGCTAGCTGCTTGTTGATCGGGTTGTTGTCGGTCCATCATGGGGATTGGTTCTCTACCGGCGTCCCTAAATTTATAAAATAGACTAACATACATAATAGAATTGAACTATTTGCAATTTGCAACGTTGCAACTGAAACAAGACATTATCTGTTTTATGTATATACCGTTACTTTCAGAATATATAGAGACAAAACTCTCAGTGACTTTAAGACCCTGTAGCTTTATCACTTAAATCGAAAAAATATTAAGACTTTAACACCCTGTAGCTACAAAACAAAGCAGAATCTAACCTATGTCGATATACAAAATAAATCTTATTTTTACGTGAGGAATCTCCCCACGAGAGATGGCACATGTTTTTTGAAACACCCTGTATATGGGTATGAATTAAGTTACCTAAATTAATACCTAATTAAATATAAATTTTTCTAACTTCTATACTAACCTTTCAGCATCACCCTGCTGGTAGAATTCCTCAAAAATGATTTTGACCGTCTGTTCTTGTATATACCATGGTTTTGCGCTAGCACTCAAATCAGTACCAGTCATAGATATAGCTTGAAGTAGAAGACGATGTTCGGCATTGCTCCACGAAAATATCTTATCTTCAATGATTTTCGTAAGTTTTGCTTTATATGGAAAGAACAATGCTAGGTCAGTAGCTAATATAGAATGCTTTAATAACCCCAACACTTGCTTATAATCGCAACTGGATAATTTGCCAAATATATTATGACCCTCCTGAAAATCAAATAGATTACTAAGAACTAAACCAGATTGGTTTAATATTTAAAGACAAAAAACGAGAGTGATTTATTTAAAAAAATTATAGATGAAGATAGGAGTGAATATACTTACTTGTTGCAAAATCGTCACAGTTTGATTAAAATGGTGGTGTTCCATAGTAGATGTTGAATATATTGCTGCCAAAGGCGATGCTGTATCACTCATAAATTTATTATTTTTTCCTCGATGGTCCAAATCATGACACAATGCGCCAACAAATAGAGCCAACCCCTACAACAATATTATAATAACATACAAGAGGTACCATGAGTCTTATTCATATTTATAATTGGCGTTATTATAACATTCTATGCCTCTTATCGCTTGTGTTTTGAAGTGAAACTTCTTTAAGCGCAATGGGATAAAAGGCCGTGACATCACACGGTCTTGACACACGAGCTAGCGACAAAAAAAATTGTAAGTGGAAGTTTCACTTCAAATCTGCGCACATATTGCACACACAATTTTTTTTATAAAAGTACATTTTATTATATTCCTCAATTAGTTTATTCATCTATCTTGATTTCATTAGCCCGTATATACTTACTAACTACATTTAAAATATATTACATCTTTAACAAAAGTATATAAGTAGAATCGTATATTCATAAATTATGTTGATACATTTTTTTTGTTAGAGAAGAGGGGAAGCGATTTACCGCCGAAGTCTGGGGTTCGATGCGACAATGCGATACTAGCCGCATAATACCCACTAAACCCCTCTCCTATGCTAGGTGTGGATGTCGATCGCCGTAAGGCATACGGATGCATCCACTCCTACCTTTACTCGTCACTCCGTCGACGTTGAATCCCTCTAGTTCTTAAACTTAATCTTGATTATCACAGAATCGATTATCACTGACAGGGGCCCATGCAGGACAATTCACATAGTTCTATTACATCTTGCGGCCACGACCTCGTCGACTTCAATGTCGAGACACAGCTGGTCAACAGCCTTCCAGCAGTGCTCATCACGCAGCATAACCGTGATGAGGCTTCCCTCAGTCAGAGGTCCTGTGATGGTGATGGCTTCCGTCTCAGTTCTCAGTGCCGCATGTCGGTCGCATTCCAATAGTACGTGCCCGGCATCCTCTACATCGCCACAAGCTTCGCAGTGGGGAGAGGCAGCTTTTCCGATGCGATGCATGTAGACAGCAAATGTCCACTCAGAATGCCATGTCCACTCAGAAACTGCACCAAGCAGTAGGTTAGTCTCCCATGGTCTCTCCGTAACCATGGTCTCAGGCCTGATATCCAGCGCCGAGTCCAGCCGCCCCGATTGCTGCTTTGCCATCTTCTATTAAATAGCTCCAGAAATTTTTCTTTCTTTGCCTTTATAGCACCTTTTTCTAGCCCGTAAGATTCACTCCTATATCTAGCTTGTAGGTCTAGAGGCATTATCCCAGCGAGCACTTGTAATGCTTCTGTGGACACTGTCCTGTTCGCCCTGCTTACATACAGGAGCACCGTCCTCTGTGCCCGATTTAGAGCGTCAACATTCTTTGCAAGCTTTAGAGCGGTTTCGGCCCATGCGGGTGCAGTATACAGCACAGCAGACGCGTGTGCAGTTGCCAGCATCCTGCCTGCCTAATCGCCGGCGTCACCATCGCGCAGCCTGAGCCTTGTTAGAGCTCTTGCACTCTCCGCTGCATTCTTTGCCTTTGTCTAAGTGTGGTAGACAAAGGTGCCGTTTTTGTCTAGCCAGACTCCCAGGTATTTAATCTCGTCCTTAATTGGCACTTGTACTCCCAGAATCTTGACCTCCAAAATCCCTACCAGTTTTGCTCTGCCGGTCAGTCTGCAAACACAGGTCTTTTCAGGAGCTAGTTCTAGCCTTCTGCTTTCTATCCACTGCCTTATATTTTCAGCGGCTATTGTTGCAAGTCTCTTGGCTTCATCCAGACCTTTACCTATAGACACAATGGCTAAGTCGTCCGCAAAGGCTATCGTGTAGACGCCACTGGGTTGATCGATGGCGAGGACCGGATCATACATGATGTTCCACAAAAAAGGTTCTAAAACTGACCCCTGTGGAACTCCCATACTGACTATCTTACTGTAACCACTCCCAGTAAGAACCACCCGTTTGGAGAAATAACTCTTTATGATGTTGAGTGAATATTTCTGTATTCTCCTTCTCTCCAGCTCTTCTATAACTATGTCCCACCTGGCCGTGATAAACGCATTTTTCACGCCCAAAGCTACCATCAGGCAGGTCTCCCTGTGCCTGTATCCACCAGCCTTTGCTCAGCGAGCTGCAAAATTCTCTTAACAGCCTCCACGGTGGAGCATCCCTTGCGAAACCCGTACTGTTCTGAGTTCAGTTCTTGATTATTAGCTGTCATATATTTCCTCTCTGTCTGCTATGGATTATACGCTCAAGTAATTTGCCCATCGCGCTGATTAAACAGATTGGTCGTAGGCCTCCAGGCTCTCCTGGATCTTTTCCCGGCTTGGGAATCAAAACGACTCGTGAACTTTTCCACTGATCAGGAAAACGTCCCTCGCGCAGTAACTTTGTCATGGCCTCAGCCAGCTCTTCGGGATAATCATCTGCCAACATTTTTACCGCCTCTGCAGGAATGTTGTCAAGTCCTGGAGCCTTGTGGGTTTTCAGGGTGGCTGCCGCGATTTTTATCTCCTTTCGTTCGATGAGGGGGATACTATTTCCATGAGTTGAATCTAGCTCCCATCTAATTATAGGTGTGTCAGGAAACAGCCTATCTACCTGCACTTTTGTAATGTTATCCGGCACTACCGGACTCGCCTGTTTGCCAAATCTTTTTGTCACAAGACGATATGCCGATGCCGTGCCCCAAATGTCGTTCTCCGCCTCGTTGATGAGATTTCTGAACGAATCTTTTTTTGCAGCCTCAATTGCGCATTTGGCAACTCTCCTGGCTATTACGAGTTCTTGCCTGGCGGCATTCTCTTCCTCCGTTGCTGCACCTCTCTTGTGCAGCCTCGCAAGCCTGCGATGTGCAGCATTTTTTACTTTAAGAGCATTGGAGACTTGAGGTGTCCACCAATACACGATGTCTTTCCGTGGTCGCTCTTTCGGCCTAACACTATCGCACGCATTCTTTAGTGCTTTTTCAGTTGCCTCTATATTATTTATCTAATTATGTTGATACATGTAATGATTATACCGATTTGGTCATTTTAGAAGTGTGGTTTGGATTTTAACAGGTTAATGGAAAATTAAATGTATTAAAAAGAGATAAAAGTTTGGTTAATACATTTCTTCTATGCGGTATTGCCGGATTTTGCATCAAAAATTCAAATCGTACAAGTAGGCATTTATGAAAAATGTTTCATCTAGGGTGGGAACCTTATTTTTCACAATAAGTGTACATTTTACACACATTACATTTTGCACATTTTACACTTTTTCACAGTAATGTACAATTTACTGCAGATGTAATAAATTATAATATTTAGCTTAGATATATTATCTCCATTTCAGTAGTATACATGAAAGTTTTTAAAATTGTTTATTTTTTTTCTGCACAAATTTTCCTACAAACGTAAAAAACCGGCAACACTGTATGCCGCTTTTGATTTTGTCTCTCGGTCTGTCAGCCGGTATTTATATTATTCTCTATCTTACACGTTAAAATCCAGACCACACTTCTAAAATGCCCAAATCAGTATAAGTAGGCATTAACTATAAGATGCGTTTATGTAAATTTATTCTACTAGAAACTATTTTTCTAAAATAGGAAAGGTTTTTTTCACTTTATTGAATCAAACTAACTTGTCAAAATTCTAAAAATCATCTAAATTTGATGTGCGTACCAGATTTTTTACAAGAGCTTCTTAAATAACAGAAAATATATACCATGTGGTATTTGAATTAGTAGTTATATTCTCAACTGAGACAAAACTTTTATAAATTAATTTGGATCAAACTTTAAAACTGAAAGGTAATATGAATTATCTGGTCCTTTTTGCTGATTTTTTAAATTTTGTAATATAAAATGCGATATCTAATAGAGGGTGCCATTGAAATGTTTATCATAGCGATTTCACAAACAAAATATTACTTTTGGTTTACCTCATTTTTGTTAAATCGGGACGCAGTCCTCTTTAGCACGCAATACATACTATTAGCCACTGAAAAGCCGTGTGTCCAGTTATGATACGGGACTTTCCTGTAATTCTTTTTGACTGTTAACACAAACCTAAAAATTACAAGCACAAAAATTATGTTTTAGCCTTTCGAATTCCGCCTTATTTACGTAGTGTACAAGATCTAGAAGTATTAATAACTGTGACATTTGAAAGTCTATGCATTTTTTTAGTAATAAGCATCAAAACTTAACTAAAACCCTATATTATTAGCCGACCATACCAACAGGTATGGTAGGCTATTAATATAGGCAAAAAAAAGTTTTTTTAATTTCACTCAAAATGAGTTATTTGGGTCATAAATGACCTAAATACAAAATATTTTCATGGTGTCTGCCTGTCTGTCCGTCTGTCCGTCTGTAACACGATAACTCAAAAACCGCTAAACCGATTTTAACCAAATTTGGCACAAAAATACTGTGGCACCCGAGAATCTGGCCGTTAGTTTTTGGTGGGGGTGGGGGGTTGGTAAGGGGGTATGGGAGGGGGTTAAAAATTATAAAAAATCGTAACTCCAAAATTACAGTAGCTAGCTTAGGCAGGGATGTGTCTTAGCGCCTCTCCTATTCAATATATTCATGGCAGCGCTCTCCATTATAGTGGACAGCAAACTGCAGAAGAGAGGTTTGGGCATTAGATACAGATACGACGGCGGTCTGTTCAACATAAAAAGACTCAGAGCAAAAACACGTACAAAATTCATCACAGAACTTCAATATGCTGATGACTGTGCTCTAGTTGCAACTACGATACAGCAATTGCAAGAAATGTTGAACACATATACATGGGCATACGAGGTCTTGGAACTTAAGCTGAACATTGATAAAACTAAAATCATGTGCACTCCCCCGGAAGATCACAACAATGCTATAAAAATCGGAGATGAGCTGTTGGAATATGTAGCGAAATTCAATTACCTCAGCAGTTTGATTTCGGGAAAGGCCAATATCGACTCTGAAATTCAGCACAGGATTAGCTGCGCCTTAAGAGCATTCTGGAAATTAAAAGACAGGGTTTTCTACAATCATGACTTGAACACAAAAACGAAACCTGCAGTGTACCGAGCAATAATAATTCCCACCATGTTATATGGAAACGAAACCTGGGTGCCGTACCGCCGACACATGAACGCATTAAACAAGTTGCAACAGAGACATCTTAGACAACTCTTAAGAATAAAATGGTTCCATCATGTCTCAAACGTATCGGTCCTTGAAAAAGCTAACTGCGAGAGTATTGAAGTCATGATTACAGATTACAAGTCCCGCTTAAGATGGGCTGATCACGTATGCAGAATGCAAGAAAACCGCATACCAAAATCTCAAAATATCTGCTTTACGGTGAGATTGTAGACGATAAGAGGAGGCCGGGTGGACAACTCAAAAGGTTCAAGGATATTTTCCACGAAAACTTAAAGAGAATTAACAAGCAGAATGAGTGGGAAGAGGCAGCTCACAATAGAACGGAATGGAGAAGAATTGTAAAGTCAGTTAACAGCGACCACCAAAAAGTAAAGAGACAACAAAGCAATGAGATTTTTGAATGTCTGGAGTGCGGTAGACAGATAACATCACGTATCGGGCTTTTCAGTCACAGAAAAGCTCATGAAAGAAAACGCCTTGCGTGACCATCTTCTGATGCGTGTCAAATACTCTCAGCGAGTAATGGCAGTATGTATGTATGTACAGGAGCTAGCGAAAGGCGGTTTTCAATTTAAGATTAGGAATAATATTTGCAACAAAATTTGTAATAACATCAAAATCAGTCAAAGTCGCAGTTTTTCAGATAAAAAAAATTGGAAAAATTCCTTTGAAACGAAAAGAACTGCCTACCAACTTTTTATTAACATATTTTAGTATGGGCTCGGCGCCAATTTTTTTTAAGTAAATATTCCTATATTCCTATGTATTTTTTAAGTAAATATTCCTATGTAAATATTCCTAGCTTAAAAAATTAAAACTGAAAAAAATTATAGCATGTATACTTTCAATATATTACCACTCACTATGTTACAATTTGAGTTTAAAAGGTTTAAGCGTCCGTGACTATTAATATTATTAGTGTTCTTAACTATTAAACTTACCGTACCAAACATTCCTTATCAAAATGTGCCAATCCAAAGAGATCTATAAACATGCTTATCGACTGACGCACTTTTTTACTATCGTTTAGAGTAAACGGATTAAAATAATAATCATCCAGTCCAGTCAAATCATCAGGAATACCTGCTTCTAAAGCGGAAGTAAGTTCATCATCTGTGCATGTATTGTGATAGCTCAGCACCTACAATTTTTCAACGTTACCACATCTAAACAAAACATCTGAAGTAAAATATAGGAGCTAAAATATTAATAATGTTACCTCTAAAGCTACTTTATATTTTTGCTCGCTTTTTTTTATTTTATCGTACAACTTGGCATGATGGAGTGCCAATCCACAATAAACAGCAAACGTCTCGAAAGCGGCTTCGTCGTTCTCATTAAAGAATCCAGCATGTTTGTTCACCATTTGAACTACACCAATTATGGATCCTTTAATATAAATAGGCATACAAAGGATCGATTTTGTTGTATAACCTGTAAAAATAATCTATTGAAGAGAAATAAAAATAAGACTGCAAGGAAATAATATTTATTTTTGTAGGTGCTATAAGGATATAATATTTCCTTATAGTATAAGAGCTAGCAACGTCGGGAAAACAAGTATTTTAAGAAAGCTGGCTCTTTAATATATTGTTTGCTATGCTCTCTGGAACAGCATGCGGCCCGTCTGGCTGCCGGTAAACGTTGCGTTCCCTACTGCGCATTGAAAGAAGATCCTATATTTTTATTAGCCCTTTAAATTGTAGAGTAAACGCCACGAATGTTTGGGAGTGATTTATCGCTTGATGAAGTTAGAATCGACACGCGCGCTATCATTTTTACATTAAAAACGTAAATTTTTACCGCAGACGTAGGTTTTTAAAGGCCCAGTCTAATCATCTGCCTGCGCTCCTCCTACTTATTCTAAAATGTTAGCGTGATTGACAAAGACGATACTATATCGCGTTTCTTTGATTGATTCGTTTTTGTGCGTCAGTCCATTGGTGTGCTTGCAGTGCGAGCATTGGGGCATTCCAGTTTATATTTATAACCAAATATATGTTTTGACAAGACTTTGACAGTTAAAACAACAAATTACAACAGATTATATATTGATTATTATATGACTTGAAACACCACGGCACTGGAATTAAGTTTTATGTGACCTTGAACAGATTAGTTCACATGGTAGCGACCGATGAATCATTCCCAAACATTCGTGGTGTTTACTATAGTATTGAATATAAACCGAGTCTCCATAGCTCAGCGCGTAGAGGTTCCGCCTATCAAGCGAGGAGTGAGAGTTCGAATCCGGGTCAGGACAAAATTTTTTTATTTTATTTTCGTTTATATTCTGATAGTAAAGTATTAAATATATTTTTTTTGAATCAACAGAATTATTTAATACTTTATTATTAGAATATAAACGAAAATAAAATAAAAAATTTTTGCCGTGACCCGGATTCGAACTCTGAATCTTCGGTTCGTAGTCGGAAACTCTACGCGCTGCGCTATGGAGACTCGGTCGGTTTATATTCAATACTAGAATTTATAGGACTAAATAAAAAAATATAGGATCTTCTTTCGATGCGCAGTAGTGAACGCAAGGGTTATCGGCAGCCAGACGGGCCGCATGCTGTTCCAGAGACCATAGTAAAAGATATATCAAAGAGCCAGCTTTTTTAAAATACTTTCTCGAAAACGTTTCTAGCTCTTATGGTGCGTTTAGACTTGAGCACTCACGAGCTGAGAGTGCGCGCACGGCATTCGTTCGCGCTCTCGGCTCCGTTCAAATTAAAAACTTATTTTTCGACGAATGAAGTGATCCATTTGTGCGCGCACAGCACAGTTGTGTTGGCGAAAATAATGGACGACCAAGAAATAGTCGAAGCTGCAGTCATTGTTATGCACAATTTAATTATTAAAAAGGAGAAGAATCGAAAACATCGTCGCTGGTGGCAAACCCAAATTTTTAGAAATCGATATAATTTACTGCAACAACTTAGTGTCTGAGGAGGGCTATGATCAGTTCAAAAACTTTACAAGAATGACCAGACCCGACTTTGAATATTTACAAAATTTAATAACACCAAAAATTACGAACAAAAGATACAAATTTTAGAATGGCAATTTCATTAATATCGACATATTCAATATTAATTTTATTTACAAGATCTTACAATGGTTTTTTTTTATTTTTTAATAATACAAAGAATAACGAAGATTCATTGATCCACTCCATAATTTTAATAAAGAAAACGAAAAAAAATCACACACGCACGCACGAACGCAGCAAAACAAATTGCCGGTGCAAACTGAGCGTTCGCGCACACCAAAAACCGACACAGACGGCTCACGTTCGCGGCTGCTCGCGCACAGACAGCAGACAGATTCAGAGTGAGCGTGCGCGCACAGCCGTTTACACTTGAGCATTCGCGGAGGATCAGTGCGTGCGTGCTCAAGTCTAAACGCACCATTAGACTATTACAGGACCTACAAAAATAAATATTTCCTGACAGTTATTTACCATTACATGGCAACAACTAGATGTAAGGAAATGTTGATCATTTATTTTAAAAATGTTATCACAGTTTCAATATTGATTGATTTAGATTACCTGTGATTTGATCTACTGTTCTATTGAACCTTTCGTCCGAGTATGCGTCTTTGATATTTAGAATTTCTCCAGTCATAGCTACTTGACCTGCAATACCTGTCCCCAGAGGAAATCTAATTTCTTTATTATTCTTTGAAAGTTTTTTGTTTCCATCCATTTCATCAATATTTCCTTCTACTCCAATATCAAAAATTGTCGCGTATAACTCTGAAAAGACATGTTTAATAAAAACTAATCTGAAAAAATATTTTCAATATGAAGAATAACTAATTAGAAATAATACCAAAATGATAGGTGATGTAATATTTATCAGACAGTTCTTCTCTCCAACCTTTACCTTTAAAAATATATTTTCAGTGTTCTTTGGTTTTGTTTATGTTATGTTTATTATAGTTTTGTTTTTTTTGTCAAAAATAAATTGTTATATTTCTTTTATTTTTTACTCTATTCTCACAAGTGTCTCACAAGTGTCAATATCTCAGCTTTAATTCATAAACTAAATTTTTTATAAACTTTAATATTTGGCCTATTATACAGGGTTAATCGAAGGGTTGTTTTTTACCTTAACTTTATAACACTCTGTGTAATAATTTCGTAAGCATAAAAATATGTTATTTTTCGGTCAGAACCATGTCTCATGAGCTTTTCGTTTTGTATCTCATGTCAACACATGCCTTGGTTAATTTTGAAGAGCGAAATGCACTTGTCACCAACAAATTGTAATCTTCTCAGTTATTACTTCTATGCTATTTTTCAATATGAAGAGGTGGCAATGTGTGTGAACCACCTCGTCAAATAGCAAAAATTAATGACAATAGAAAAAATTGTAAAATGCTGGTGGCAAGTTTGTCTGGTTCTTAAAAATTAACCAAGGCATGTGTTGACATGAGCCAAAAAACAAAATGCTCAGAAGACATAGTTCTAACTGAAAAATAGTGATTTAACAAAATTCGCTCACGAAATGATTGCACATGGTGATTTAAAATTAGAATAAAAAACAACCCTTCAATTACCCCTGTTAATAAGCCAAATACTAAAGTTTATAAAAACTGAGTGTAAGAATTGAAATTCATAATTTATATACAGTTTGCTAAAAAATCATGAAAAAAAGGGCTCAAAATAAAAAATATATAACACTTTAAATTCGACGATAAATGTTTCCGTTGCGTTTTTTTTTGCATCTGAATGTATTTAACCTTTTATCGGCAAAGATTTCAAAATAATTAGTATCACTTAATAGACTATGTAACCATATGGTTACACTGAATTTCAAACCCTGTTTCTAACAATACCTTGTTAAATTTCGAGCTCAAGACAAAGTTACCGTATGGTTACATTCTAATAGAAGTGGAGGAAATTATAAGCAAATCATTTTAGAGCGCCATTTTTATTTACAGCTGCCGCGTCACAACCTGTGTCGCTGTAATTTTATGAGGTTAGGTAAACGCCGGTAAAAAACTTGAATTTAAAATATTATAAAAATTTGATATTGGTTTACTTTCTGTATGTGTGTTAGTGAAAACCAATAGGTAAGTGATAATAATAACAATTTTTTGGTATTCCTGTTACTTGTTGTGGAAATGAGTTTCGAATAAGAGTGTATCCATATGGTTACATTGTCCTGATTTTTTTGTTCTCTATTTCAGATTTATGGATTTCCTGAATACAATAGCGACAAGTTCGTTTTATAAAAAGAAGTTTATTCTGCCACACCCACCTCAGGTTTCGGACGGTTCTGATTCTTCAGATGATGAAGAAAATTTGACATTGAAGCAAATTCAAGATATAATGAAACAAAATGGAAATTCAGCTTTAGGTATTTTTTACCTTTCTAAAATTGTACATACTCTATACCAGGTTATTGCAGATGATCTAGATCAAGAGTTGGCTGAAAATGACAATGTTGATTTCGATTTTGACGACGATATTGATATGGAAAAAGAAAATGACGAAAATCAGCCTGAGCCAGTTGCCAAAAAGTTGAAAAAATCTTCGCACATATCCTTTAGTTCGACGAAAGACGACTTACCACAATCATGTGCTTTTGCGCCTTTTACGCCAAATATCAATGAGAACGTTTTAACTCCAATTGAATACTTCATGAAACTCTTTTCCATGGACGTCATCAATGACATTATTGATCAAACAAACCTTTACAGCACACAGGCAACAGGTGTGTCAACACTAATCCTAAAGAAATGACAGATTTTCTTTCTATATTGCTTTACATGGGCGTAATAAGTCTCCCCGCGTACGAAGATTATTGGGCTAATGGCACAAGAGTTGAACAAATCGCAAATCTAATGCCTGTGAAGCGTTTCAAAAGTCTTAGGCGCCTAATACATTTCAATAATAATGAAAACATCAACGAAAATAATACAACAGACAGATACTTCAAAATTCGTCCGTTGATTGACAAAATAAGGGCAAATTTCCGAGCATTTCATACTGAAAATAATTACTCTATCGACGAGACAACGGTTCCATACAAAGGTACACGCGCTGGAAATCTGCGACAATATATCAAAAATAAGCCACACAAATGGGGATACAAGTTTTTTCTCATCGCTGGAGTATCCGGCTTTATACTAGATTTTATTCCATACCAAGGCGCAGGTACATTTGATGATCTCGAAGGGTCCATAAATGAATTGAGTACAGAAGAACGTGAAATGGGCGTTGGAGCTGGAGTCGTCATAGCCTTGTCAAAATCTTTGCATGAACCCTGTAATTCAATACTTTTTTTGATAACTATTTTGCTGGTCTACCGCTGTTTATTTATCTTAGAGATAAAATGAATATACGCAGCCTTGGATCATTACGTTCAAATAGAATTGCTGGTTGTCCCATAGAACCGATAAGGTCTTGCAGAAACAAGGAAGAGGGCAATTCGATTACAAAGCTGATGTTGCAAAAGGTCTCGTTATTGTCAAGTGGGTAGATAATAAACCTGTTCTATTAGGAAGCACTGTTCATGGTATAGAACCAACAGAAACCGTAAAAAGATTTAGCAAAACTGCCAAGACAAAAGTAGATATTATTTGCCCATCTATAGTAAAAAAATATAACAGGTATATGGGAGGAGTAGATACAGTAAATGCTTTGATGGGGCTTTACAAAACACCGCATAAGGCAAAACGTTGGTATTTCTGTATATTCACGTACTTATTAGATATAAGGGTTGTGAATGCATAGCTTCTTTATAGAATTGACTGCTCAGCTATACAACAAAAGCATATGCCACTAAAGGAGTTTAGGCCACAAATTGCAGCTGCTTTAGCTAAATGTGGGAAAGAAGCTAGAAAAGGACGATCATCAAATTCAACAACTAGCGAGATTTCGCGTATAAAACGACCTATAGTTGAAAGGCCAAACTCTACATCAAGAAACGATGGTTTTGCTCATTGGCCCAAACACACGACTAAGGGAAGATGCAGACATTGTGTAAAGGGTACTAGCCGACTGATGTGCGAAAAATGTGATTGTAGACTGTGTCTTACAGAGAGCAAGAATTGTTTCAAAAATTTTCATTTGATTAATTAAAAAAATAAAGTTATTATTATCCAAAATTGCATTTTTTGTTATTTTATTGGACATTTGGTTACAATCTGTAAAAACGTAGAACCGAACGACACTGACATTTAAATGATAGTAATGGAGTTAGTGATGAATAATAAAACCACTACACACACAATACATTTTATTTGATGCCTTTAACATCTTGTCCATTAAGGGTCTTAAAAATTGTTGGAACCATACGGTAATATTAACCAATAAAGGGTTAATACCACTAACGACCAGGTCAGCGACCAGCCAACGGCCACCAATCAAATGATACAACGCACAGTAACATCCACGCACAAGCGGTTAAACCTCCAGACCAGACCAGACCAGTAATACCATTAAATCAAATGATACAACGCGCACTACCGTCCTGGCCGTTGGCTTGTCGTTGCGACCTGGTCGTCAGTGCGTTTGAGCCCTAAGACCAAAACATATTTTAAAACTATATCTACCTTTGTTTTTGCTGTCTAAGAGAAACAAAGACGCTCTGTCAGCATTCACTAATCTCTGAGCAAAATTCATAATTTTCAAAATCAACATATCCATGCTTACCATATCTTGGAATATAGACCTAATATAAGAGAAAAAAAAGGTAGGTATTAAAAGATTGTTTTACTAAACAAATTATATAGTTGACTATATTTATTCATCAAAAAATCTACAACTTTGATATTTAGTTTTTTAATGACTTTTTAAACACAGGAGTCCCTCGTTTTAAGCGGCATATTTATATGCGGTTTCGCTTATACGCGTTTGCATTTTTGACACCAGCGACTTATTTTAAGTGATTTGTTAATTCCATATTAGCTAGGAAGGGCTTATATAGTCTGTGAAACGAATAACTTTGAATTTGACAGTTCCCGCGGGCTTTTCTAGTGTTAATTTTATTAGGTTAGCAACTTGCGGCCATGCTGACACAATGCCGTCTCTAAATGAACAGCCAGGGTGGGAGATTTATGACGTCACGCTAGTTAGATACTACGTATTAATAAATATGTTATAAAATACATGGAAAACATAATTATTCCTCGTATTTTTGATTTGTATTTTAAAAATGATATAGTTTACATGAAATATACATAATATACAGTTAATAAATACAATATATACAGGGTGTTTCAAAACAAATGCGAAAACTTAGAGTATTTCGTTCGTGGCAGGGTAGTTTGCTAACATTAGGGAAATATCGCGGTAAAAGATGGCGGAAAAAATAATGTTTTTATTTTTTATCTTGAAAACGAAAAGAGATAGACTAATGAAATTTTATGGAAGCATTACTGTTATGAAAACACACTTTCAGGTATTTTTTTTACTTTTTTAAAATGAGTGGAAGGAGTTGAAATAAACTACCCCTATCATTCTTGTTAACGAAATTTAAAGATAAATCTTATCAAACACATGCAAATAATAATAAGTTTGGTAAGATTTTTCTTTAAATTTCGTTAACAAGAATGATAGGGGTAGTTTATTTCAACCCCTTCCACTCATTTTAAAAAAGTGAAAAAATTACCAGAAAGTGTGTTTTCATAACAGTAATGCTTCCATAAAATTTTATTAGTCTATCTATTTTCGTTTTCAAGATAAAAAATAAAAACATTATTTTTCCGCCATCTTTGTACCGCAATATCTCCCTAATGGTTGACTTTTGACCCAACGTTTATGAAGCAAACTACCCTTTATTTTGAACAAGGAATCACCCCCTGAAGTTTTTCGCATTTGTTTTGAAACACCCTGTATACCTATTTATAGTAATAAACACTTTGGCAAATAAACTATGAACCATACAAATGCAGCAAATCTTTTACAATATACAAATAATGAATAGGTACATAAGATAATGGGTAAAATGTAATCTATTTTAAATTTTGGGGTTTGAAAATCGATCTAATTTTTCAAAAAACATTCAATATCTACTAATATGCAAATATAATTTTTCGAACATTGATACTTGCAAAATATACATATATAAATTTTGTGAATGCAAGTAATAAATCACTATTAGTAGATATTGAATATTTTTTTTTGTTAAATTAGATCGATTTTCAAACCTCAAAATTTAAAATATATTTTACATTTTACCCATTATCTTATGCACTTATTCACTATTTGTATACCTATTGTAAAACATTTGCTGCATTGGTATGGTTCATAGTTTATTTGCCAAAGTATTTATTACGATAAATAGGTATATATTATATTGTTTTTTTATTAACTGAATATTATGTATAGTTCATGTAAACTATATCATTTTTAAAATACAAACCAAAGATAGAGGAATAATTATGTTTTCCATGTATTCTACAACATATTTAATAATCCGTAGTAACTAACTAGCGTGACGTCATAAATATCGCTCCGAGGCTGTTCTATTAGAGACGGCATTGGTCTGATATTTAGAAATGTCACAAGCTGATGACATTTTACTTTTGACAATTATGAATTTCGTGTTGATTTTTGCAAGAAGAGGAAGATCAGTCACTTGTTTTATTATTTCCCTTTTCTATTTCACGGAAGTAAAAAGAGTTACCTATCTGATTCATTCAGGCGCTCAATTTAAAGAATATCAGTAACTTTTTTGACAGAGGGATTTTATATTTGCCATGTTGGTAAAAAATAACGGTCAAAATTCAAAGTTATTCATTTTATAAGGGCTTTTCGGAAACTGTGATCTGATTGATCGGATTGATAGGATTACTAATCCAGACGTTCGAAAAGTGATCTCAAAACGAGTCAATGCGTTCTGAAAGTGATCCGAATAACTCGATTTTTGCCATATGTTGTGATCCTACTAACCCTCCTAATGAGGTGGGTAGAATTAATCAGCTGATCATTTCTAGGATAATTTTAAACGTAACGGTCCGCATAGAAGTATAAAGTTTTTTAATAACCGTTTTGTCCGAAATCACTTTATCTAATGTTGATCAAATACATGATATTTTGTTAGTGACCGTAAAAATGAGCCAATCAGCATAGCATCAAGTAACTCTAGATTTTAAATAAATAAAAAACCAACAAGTAATTCTAAAGATACTGACTGCGAAAAAGCACTATCGGAGACACCCAATAGGAAAAAAATGAAAACTCAACTACAGAAAAGTGGTTTAAAACATTTAGATTAAAATAGCCAGGCATAATGAAAGAATGGAACTTGATAGACAATTCTGAAAATTTTCATCACAATTGGTAGATAAAAATTGATATATTTTTTTATTATTAATATGATGGAATGTTTATTATGTTGGCAGTAAATAAATGATTAAAATAAAGTTTATAGTGTTTTTGTTTTAAATGGCATAATTTTAAAAAAGCCTAAAATAAAACACATTTTGTTTTTATAAAAAATAGTCTTACAGAAACTAAAAAGTATACTTAAAGCAAAACAAATAGGATAAAAATAGATCTTATACAATCGTTAAAGATTAGAAATATAATAATATAATAAGAATATTAGGATTATTTGTTTAATTTATCTCTTTTTACGAAATATATTTAAATGTGATTGTTAACCCAATAAATCTAATGATCCAACCGTTCGTAATTAAACTACCAGCTGATTACTCTCAGCACTGATCTTGGAACAGCTGATTAGTAAACTACCTAATCTAGGATTTTATTTCCGAAAACCCCTATAGACTATATGTATGTAACTCAATACGAGAACAAATCAACGAGTTATCGAATTGTAACAAAGATACTGACCACATACAGCCAGAAATTATACCACGCGCAGATGCTTCGTATCAGAGATCAAATGAAAAAAGTGCTGCTGATTGAGGAAAGTCGTTGCCTGGAGAGGAATTTAATGATTTGCATCAGGATAATGTAAATGACCTACTTGAATCACATATTAACGATGTAAATGAGGGACCATAGTAAATATGTCTAGTAATCGAGATGTTAACACTTACTTGACAACAATCAAGAGAAAATCATTAAGATCTTTTTGCTGGTTCATGTTTAAATATAAATGAGCGTAATGTAGAGCAATACCACCCCACACTAGATAGCTAGCTGCTATTTCTTCATCCTCCTTATAATATGGCTCTCTAGATGAATTGCGCCACAACAGTAGGACAGCCAACAGTTCCCCATTAGGTTGCAATATAGGCTGGCCTAGAATGTGTGCAACATCATCCTGAAAGTAAAATATAACTGCTACCATATAGATTATACTGTTAGTTGTATATTAGAAGTACCTTACGATCGGAAAAAACGGTGTCAAAGACGGCTGGAGAATGACTATCGATAATTTTGGCTAATCTAGACGGCCCAACCGTCTTTGACGCCGTTTTTTTTTCGATTATACAGTATTACCTCCCCGGAAACGCCAATTTGAAATCGATCATCATCAATATCTTTTGTTAATCTTAAAGGTTCTTTAGTTCCGGCAACCTGAAGTGGGATTAATTCATTTTGAGTCGAATTAAGCTCTAAGCGGCCATTTTCTGAAGTTGTCACTGCAAATAACTTTAGATTTTCCTTGTCCGGATGTTGAGGCACCACAAATAACCTGAGAAAATAGTTATCATTATATTTCAGCGTTCTATATAACTAACTTAGGACCTAGGAAAATTGCCCGACAACAATTGACCGAAGGAGAATTACCCGAAAACACAATTCACCGAAAAGAAAATTATCCGAAATGTCGTTTTTTTATCGTAAAACAAGGAAATTTTACGCACTTAAATCCATCTGCACCGACAGCCGAACATATGCATTTTGACAATTCCCATAACACGTGATTTTGGGTAGGTTTTTCTTCCAAGCGATGTGTTAAACTTTCTAGCATTTCTTGCTTATCCGCATGTACGGAATACTTCCATCTGTAAACGTATAGTATATTAATTTTGAAAAAGGCACAGGATGATTCAAACTTGACGCCTTAAACTAAACGCCATCTTTCATGAATCGGAGTATAGTATTTTTCAAATATTTAAACAGTTTTTTTTTATTTTTTTATTGTAATAAGCGCATTATATCGACAATATTAGTATCTGTACTGTCCTCTTTTTTTAGAAAATTTGTTACTACATTAAAAATAATCTAAAACCTGAATATTCTATGGGTATATTGATAAATGAGGTCTAAATTATAAAAAAATGCATTTTCTACGAAAACTTAAAAAAGGTAAAAATGGTATAATACAATTTGGCAGACAATTAAATTGTGCATTTGATTCTCGTAAAATATACAGGGTGCTTCACTTAAATTAAACAAATTATGGTCGTTTAAAGCTAGTAATCACTTTTAATCACTTTTTTAGACACTCTGTATAAGATACAATAATTTTTATTATTACGACACAAAATTTAGTAAATAAGAAAACTTTTGAGTACAATATTTGCTTTTAAAAACTTGAATACGCCTAGAGAAATGAAGCATTAAAATTGTTACTCTATTTTCACAAAATCGAAAATATTTCAAAAACAGTAAAAGATTAAAGTGCGGCAAACCTTAATTAAATTTACCTTTATTTTAATGGTAGAAAACTAAAAATGTAATAATATACAAAATGATCCGTTTAAAAAAATACAACTTTGATATTTTTTATTTATTTGTGACACTCTGTACCTTTCAAAAATAATTTAAATTGTAGCTTTAGTAGTCCTTCGACAATCCCGTCACTGACAATTTCTAAAAATCTAATCGTGTGGCTACAATACTCTGTGTCGAATGAGGTGAATAGCCCTGTATATCAAAAAAAATATTTAACTAGTTCTGTTCAATCTCATTGACCATATTTACATTTTGATTTACTATTTTCCTGGAATTAGTACGAGGCAAAAAATTTGAATCACCCTGTCCAAATAAAAGTTGAATTGAATAGGTAGAATCCAATTTCTAATACATACCCATGTGGATAGCTAAAAGAACGTGACATTCTCAAGCTAAAAAAGTATACATACAATTTATTTTATATTAATATTGTTAAAGGTGCGTCCAGACCTGACGGGACGAGAGCGAGACGAGCGCGAGACATTCCAAATTCGCTAAGTAACAACCCACGGAGCCTCGCTGCTATCCGTCCTCTGTCGGTTTTGCGACGGCCGATCAAAGAAAGCTCAGATAAATCAGATAAGATCAGATTGCAAGATATTAGCTCTGATATATGAATTTCGACTATCTAAAATTAAATAATCACAAATTTTATAAATGGTACACCGGACCGTGTGTATTATCATTTTTTCTGGTAGAATTTACAAATTTTGCGTACTCATAATTTTTACCGTACAGAAATCTAACATTTCTTTAAACAAATTGAATTATTACAAAATCTATTAATTTTCGATATATAATATCATATGCAAAAAAAGTTGCCGAATTGTACGTAGAATCTAATAATAAAATAAATAATACGGTATTCCCATTAAAAAATATATGTCATATCCGCAACACTTTTTTGATGTACTCTGTAGACTCTACAGTAATTTAAAAATGGGCTTCTTAACCTTCCCTATAACTTTTCTATTTAACATATATGTTCTAAAAAACGTTAAAAAACATATTTTGTAAAAGACGTCGTGTCTCGAAACAAATGAAGAATTAAAGGGGAAAACAACCAAAAGGGAAAACAACCGACGAATAAAATACGACGAACCAAATACCATGTTAAAGATACAAAAACTTATTCCTTTTTGCGTTATTATTTGGCCAATATGTTATATAATATTAAATTACAATTTAATATGTATTTGGGTTCCTTTCACTATGATCCAACTCGCTTGTCTCGTGGCAGACTTGCCTCAAAAAATGGAAAGAAGGTGTCTCGATCTCGTCTTGCTCTTGTCTCGCTCTTGCCTCGCTCTCGTCTCATCAGGTCTGGACGCACCTTAATATTGAAAATTTTAAATTAATGAATTAATACCTCGATAAACTCAGATTTCTTTCACCTTGCTCCTCTACATCTGATGATCTACAGTCGCGTCGTGATTTTCGAATGATCCAACGTTCAACTTGATCGATTTTCACCTCTTTCATTATGTAATTCTCCAAAAACTCGGGATGTTTCGATAAAAAATCGGTCACCGCATCTACCGAAATCAGTATTGATTTCCATTAAAATCTAATTTGTAAATATAAACTTACCTGATGTTAAATTGTTAGAACTATTGCCTGAAAAAATGCTAATGTGACTATCAGAGTAATTAGAATCTGAAAAAAAAAACAGCTTAGCTAAAAAGTTAGGAAATCTTTATTTACTTAAACTGGAAAATTGGAGAGAAGTTTTTTTGAAATAGGTAGGGGGAGGTAAAACTGCCGACAAGAGACGGAAAGGATAAATGTTAGGTAATAGGTATTAGATGACCGTTCAAGATGCATCTGTGTTTTTGTTCGTCATTACTGATTGGTATTCGCCTAATGTGATATTCCTCTTACATATAGAATAATCCAGAGAGAGAAAAAGAGAGAGAGAGAGAGAGAGTTGATCGTGTTAAGCCACACCCAAAATTCCAAATACACGTGCTTGAATTAAGGCTTGATTAAGGTTTGCAGAGCTTCAGCATTTGCCATAAAATAACTAGCAATTTGTTACAAAACCATATAAATTATATATCACTGTAATCACAAAACTTCAATCTATTTCCGTATTGTAACAGAATTTTAAATTATGTCTTTATTTTCGAGAAAATTTAGTCCAAACATAAGGAATATTTTGTTGATGTTTGACCATCACAATCTTAAAAATAAAGAAGTTGTCTAAAAATGTGGTACAATACGGATATAGTATAATCCTTTATTTTTAATTTCCTTCTTCATTTGTGCATAAATACCTAGCCAGTTTTACATAAAACGTTAATTGCCGAATGCTTACTTTGTTACTTTTTCGGACTAGTGGAATGGACTCTTAAACTTCAATGCATTAATACTTCAATAATAGAGTTGTTACTTACTTCTTCGTAACTCAGAATCTGTCCAATTGGTAGTTCCTCCCATTATTCTAATCTCAGCACTACCTTCCCGTCCATTCACCGGTGTTACGACTACTTGGACCTATTTGAAATACATCTTGAGTTACACTGTTTATTAATAATTATTTCTAAGTACACCGAAATAGTAAATTAACAAGAATTTAAATATACATAATACATATAAAACCAATCATCCAACGGTCTAAGACACTCGAAAGAGTTCTTCAAAACTTGCAACCGAGAAAAATCATAGATTTTCATTGATTTAAGTAAGAACAATCTTCGAATTGTCACGGGGTTTCTAACATGGCACTGTCTCCTCAACGAACACCTCAGTAGATTGAAGCGAATGCAGATTCTGTGGGGAAAATGGGGAAACACCAGAACACCTTATTATTGAGTGCGGCGAGATGACAACCGTTCGTGCGACGGCTTATGTCAAAGATGGAGAGCTGGCCTCTGTGAATCCGTCTCAGATACTAGCTTTTGTCAAAGCCCTGAGACTGTATGATGAGTTATAACCCATTATAACTTAAGAAAGAGACACACAATAGATCTGTAAGGTCGCAGTGATTAACCCCCCTCCTAAACATTCTACATTCTATTCTATTGTTGCGGACCTGTGTGGACTCCTAAACCTAAACCGTTCTAAAGGTACGTATTCATTATCCGAACGAACGCACGAACGAACGAGCGAACGAATGGAATTCGGTATATTTGGACGGGGAACCGAACACATGCAGCCGTTCGTTCGTTTGGTTCTAAAATTCGATCCCGTCCATACTAATACCAAACGAACGAACAAACGTTCGTTCGTTCATTCGGATAGTAAATACGCACCTTTATGTCACGCCCCCCTATAACCTTAATATCGCATTAAAGAATAGACACCGCAGTCACTCAGCCAATCGAACGTTCGAGAACAATCGAGTTCCACTGGAATCTCGGCGTAGATACGAGAACATTCTAAATCTTCTCTATGCACCTAATGATTTAGGGACTACCTACAAGGCTACCTATCTTAGTAAATTTAATTCCTAAAATATAATAAGATAAGACAAATTGAGTTCAGACGAATAAAAAGAAAAAAGAACAGTTCGGTTCGAGCTAGCAGCGATTTATAACCTCGTTCGTATTTCGTCTCACTTAAAATTTTCAACTAAGCTAGCTGACAAGCAAGCTCAGTCAGGGCAAGGGGGGAAATTTTATCTCACTTTTCAAACTCAATTTATGATAAGTAAATAGAACATGCTAAATTTACTGAGACAGTTAAGATTAAGTAAGTACCTTAGTTGAACTCAATTTAACTCACTTAAAAAGGGTAAAAAGAATACACCTGTAGCCTCTCTGTCTGTGGCTATACTAAGGGCTGGCAAAGGTTAGTCTTGGGTCGAGATTTCCGTATGTAAGAAGAGTACAATGGCGTTTATAATGTACTGAACAAAGAGAGGACAGTAAACACTTGCCAAACGTATGAAATAAACCGAGAAACTGTGCACATCGCTAAGAGACGTGGAAGGGGATATAGCAGATTTGTCGCAGTTGACCGGTCGACCCAATCAATACCTCTGTCAACACTTAAAGTTCTAGGGAGAGGTGTACTTCATGCGTCCAGCTTCACGATTTAATTACGTCTCGTGATACTTGATTTGTTTATTTATTAACGAGTCGTTGTAATTTTCCCTATAGCTTGAATTTTTTTAAGTACAAGCTAGAAACACTTGCATTTTTGGTAAAAATAAGTGGAATTGAGTGGGTGTTCGATAGTGGTCGCGCTATTAGAACTCTGAATTCAAAAATCGATATCTCGAAATCTATTAGAAATAATAGATTCTAATTTTTTCAAGAACTTTCTTAATGTTTCTGCTGTATTTTCTTTGTAGACAGTATGTGAAAATCTTTATCAATAAAAAAATTACACGATTGCTGAAAATCGCTATGCTCTAAAAGTAAATGGATGGATTGTTTACAATTTTTGAATGGAAAAAACAACCATATCGAATTTTTCTTATGTAAACATATTGTAAAATATCCGATCTTGAAAATAAAAAAAGCTTCAATATCTAAAGTGGTTCTTGAATTATGGCCTGTTATGTGTTAAAAAGTTGAGTTTTTAAATTATCGCGATTACTGACGTTTTCTCGTTATGAAAAAATGACCCTAACGACATCCTTATAATTCCATTTCAGATGCTCAGAAATATGTCTAATGATTTTATCTAGTTATCTCTTGAAAAAAAGTCTTTTAAAAATAAGCGGTTTGCGATCGTGATTTTACTTTACTTGATAGGGAAAGGCGTATCGGCAACGCCGCAACAGCACACCGTCGCGCGTCGCGTCGGTCGGTCGCATTTCTCTCACTCCAACTTAATAAGATCCCTATGCGATTTACTTCCACACATGTAAATGCCGACCCAAAAGTAACAGTTGCCAGCACGGTATAACCCGACGCCTGGGGCCTGAGGAGGACAGAAAAAACAGATCGGTCACCGCGTACAGTTGCCGCGCTAAATTCGAAATAAATTCCTTTTAGATAACTAGTTAGATAAATAGTAAATAAGTTGTGAATAGTTCTTTAAGTAGTTTTATCGTTATTGTTTTGTTACTTAGTATAAAATAAATTGTGTTTAAATAAATTACACTTTCTATCCACACGGAACCGACGAAAAACGTAACGCTCAATATGTTGGACTATAAGCAATCCACACAATAATAAATAAATCGTCAAAAGAGGAAAGCATGATAAAAACTGTTCATCTTATAGAAACTACAGGAAACGTTTCCAAAACAAAAGACGCGGTTGACTGGTCCCTTTGGTGGAAGTCGAGTTTGGGTGTTTTGTGAAACAGAAAACATGTTCCTGTTTGTGAAACAGAAAGAATGTTTCTGCTTTTATAAACAAACCTAAATGTAACTGAGAAGTTCTTCGCTGTAAATCCGTCTTAAGATATTTCTATGTAAGTTTGTAGAATATTCCAAAAGAAAATACCTTATGCTGGTTACATTCTTCGTGCGGTTCAAGTTTGGATAAACCATCAAAAGTTCTTTCAACCAGAAAATTGCTATTCATATTGAAGTTCATTTATCTGAAAAGAAATATAAGATTAATAAAGAAATATATAAAATACCGAAGCACGAGCGATTTTAAAAACATCCATTATATGATTTGAATAAAATGGCCTATAATAACAATAACAATACGAGCTTAAAAATATACCTTATCAAAATAATAAACCGTCAATTGTATTTTATTGATATCTTATACATAAATTAATATGGTTTCGTTTAACTTATTTAATTTAACGATTTAATCATACGATCGAAAAAACGGCGTCAAAGACGGCTGAGAATGACTATCGATGATAATTTTGGCGAGGTCAAGCCGGCATTTACTTGGCCCATGCCTTTCTCTATTTTTTAATGGCGATTACTGCCAGTTGGCCTTAAGAAGATTTTAATTTATTTTTATATTGAGTAAAAATGATTTTTAATGATGTAGTTTATATTGGAAATAGATTTTTATGTCTGGAAACGTTCTATTTTGACAAGTTTTATGTCAATTTTTAGTAAATTACACCTAGGAATTGACCTCGCTAAAATTATCATCGAATGTCATTTCCCAGTCTTTGACGCCGTTTTTTTTTTTATCAAACGATAGTAAAAATACTAAATTAACGAATCATAGTTAAAACTTCAATATATACCCATAAATCGGAATTTTACTTACAGTTACGAAAATTTGGAGCTATATTAGAACACTAGCATAGAAGATATACCCAAGACAACACCATTAATACTAATAGTTGGAGTGCTTTTTGGTCTGTTTTATCTTTAAGATCGTATTATAGTTCTTGCATGTTCAATTATATTAAGGCGTTTGCATGCTTAATTACTAGTCACGAACAAGTAGATGTTCTCTATATATACATTTTATTAGCTAAACTTCATCATTTACCTAATATTATTTCATAAATGATCGATTTTGTTTTAAAAATAACACCAAAACTACGATAGTTCCCTATAAAATTAAGAATTATATAATTGAGGTACCTTATTTACTTGCTACTAAAATACGCAGTGTGAAATTAGAAAAGATTCAGATTAAATCTATTTATTTCTAATCTCGTTTTGATTAGCCTCACATTATTATGAAAAATGATTTTAAATATAAAAAATTAATCATATTAAAATAAAAACCCCAAATCACCACAATACACCAAAACACTTTTACTTTTACACTGGACGCGCGTTTCACTAACCATGTTAGCATCATCAGCAGATGATTATAAACTAAAGTATAATCCACAAGTTGAGCGTTTATATACTCGCTCAGTGGGCACCGAGTGGGCGTGGCAAAATCAAGCCAACCGAGTTAGAGCCAACTGAGCGTAACAGTTAGATTTCCGCCACTAGAGTAGTAGGAACAAAGAACTTGAAGGAATTGGACCGTTGACTCTGTTCATACTATCTTTACATTTATTAATTCTGATGCTTTCATATGCATCTAATTGCCTGTAATTTGAGACTTGTTTAATTAATTTTAAATTATTAAGATCTATACAATGTTCATTATCAACAATATGTTCGGCAACGCAAGATTTATCCGGTCTACCATATCTTATCTGAGCTAAATGTTCTTTAAATCTAGTTAATATTGATCTTCTAGTTTGCCCAACATATTTCTGATAACAATCTTTACAAGAAATTTCATAAATACCTATATATATATATATATATATATATATATATATATATATATATATATATATATATATATATATATATATATATATATATATATATATATATATATATATATATATATATATATATATATATATATATATATATATATATATAATAACATGGTTAGCGAAACGCGCGTCCAGTGTAAAAGTAAAAGTGTTTTGGTGTATTGTGGTGATTTAGTGTTTTTATTTTGCTGTGTAACACCAAAGGTTCCAACCCTCAACTATAATAATCATATTATTTAATATTTGGTTTGTTTTCACGCTAGTGATCTTCTTCTTCAGGCCTGACGTCAGGCGTTGCCGATCTCCATGGCAATTTCGTTAAATAGGTCTATATTTTTGCTGCATGAAACAGCATCTCCACCCCCAGGCCGGTCCATTTCCGTATGTTTCTCAGCCATGACAGTTTTTTGGACCTATCCATCTTCTACCTTCGACTTTTCCTTGAATGATCAAACGAGGAACATAGTATTTGGTGCGTCGGATTATAGTCCGAAGTAGCTAACCTTTCTGGTCTTGATGGTGGTTAAGAGTTCCCGATCTTTATTGAGCTGTCCAAAAACTTCTTCGTTGCTTGTATGTTCGGTTAAAAATCTTAACCATTTAATGTAATCGGGTTTGGAATGACAGGTTTCTATTAGTGAGCGTGGTATTCCATTTTTTTGAATGTTTACGTGCTATTTCAATTCTTGCCTTAACCTCTTCATCACATGTATTTTCACTATTTAGCCAGCTCCCTAAATATCTAAAATGTGGTAGTTGTTCAATATTGTGTCCGTTGATTTTTATCGGGATTGGATTAATTTGTATTTTACCCGCAAACATCAATTTCGTCTTCTTAATATTTATACCCCCCATTTGCAACCCATTTGTAACTAGCTTCATGTACTATATCTAGCAGCGTTTGCAAAAAAAAAACGCTTTACTGTACAAAAAGCCAAAACAGCTTCATCGACAAAGCATTCACAAAAGAAAAAAGCACAAAAACAAATATACAAATAATAAAAAAAAATGTCATACAATACAAATCAATTCAAAAAAATTTACGTCATAAAATTACAAATAAAACATATATGGACATTGCAAAACACAGGCGTATCTAGAAAATTTTACAAAAGGTAAACTGTAAATGGATAAAATCATGTTATATATCATAAAACCAAGAGTTATAAAATATTAAATATTAAATACTAGACCTTTAACCAGTGTGTGAGATGATCAAAATTTTAAAATTCAAAATTGTTCATGATTAAACATCAACAAAAAAGTCGTTTACCGCATATAGGGCTCTCACCAGTAAATATGATTTCAGAGCTTTGCGAAATGCGGGAAAGAATGAAAGTGACTCGATATTCGAAGGCAAATGATTGTACATTTTCTTGGCATTGTACAGTATTGAGCCCTTAACTAGTTCTGAGCTCGGGGTTGGCAGATAAATATCGTGCTCCGCATTCCTAAGTGGATAGTTGTGAGAAGGCCTTTCCGGAATAGCAGATATGTGCTTGCGGATTAAGCAAACGGATTCAAAAATGAATAAGGAAGGAAGAGTCAGTATTTTGAAATTTTTAAAGAAATTCTGGCAGTGAGTTCTACTGTTTAGTCCCTATAAGTATCGAACTGCTTTCTTTTGAAGTTTGAAAATGCGGTCAAATTTTGCCGCGCAGCAAGTACCCCAGAATGGAAGGGCATAACGAAGATGCGACTCAAAAAGGGCATAATAGACCATTCTAGAGGTTGATGAGTTAAGTTCCTTAGAAACTGATCTTAGCGCAAAACAGGCAGCGCTTAGTTTCTTTGATAAAGCTTCGATGTGCAAGTCCCATTTTAACGAGTTGTCTACAACAAGTCCTAAGAATCTTACAGAGTCCACGACGTCAATAGTGGTGTTATTAAGTACAAAAGGTTGTATAGTACTTTTATTATATTATTAGAGACAATCGCAGTGATAATGACACGCTAGTGATATCAACCGATAAATATTCGATTTTTTTTATTGCCAACCAAAGGACCAAAATCAGAATAACAAACTATTTCAATTATTATTGATCGCTCCGTACAATATAAGCAAAACTCAACGAACGTAGTATATAAACTATACTATAAGTAGCAACAGGTGAATATATTATCAAGCTATATAAAACAAAAATGCAACGACATAAGTTTAGAGATCTACTTTATATCGTCAATTTCAATAAAAATACAAAATGAGAATCATATATTATTTAATTATGCAAAAAATAGTTGTTAGAGTGAACGTATTTTTCTCTAAACTTAAAAGTCACTAATTTAATCTGAGGCAACCTGGCTTACTCATGGAATAGCTCAAGAACGTCAGAGAGGATAGGAGCTGGAATAGTATATCCAAGGATGTTACAATTTTTATAATAGTTACCTAGTGTTAGTTAGCCACAAAGCAGTGGGTGGGGTGGCACACAAATCTCTAAAATGGTGGAAAAAATCTCCAGAACAAAGACAGGAGAAAAGATTCATAGAACACTCTGCAAAGTTTGCAGAAAGCCTGATAAGCAAAGACAGGAAAATTGTCAAAACTATAGTGGGTTTACTAAACGGGCATTGTAGGCTTAAGAGCCTTTACAGCGGATAAGGTAAAAAGATGACAAAGCCATATGTAGATTTTGTAAATTCAGGAAGAGAGAAGAAGAAACGGCAGAAGACATTCTCTGCAATAGCTTGACAAATGTGTGATTCTTTGTACTAGGCAATACGAGTAATAAGTGAACCGTCTTTACGCGCGATGGGAGTAAAAATTCAATGGCGCGACACTAGCTAGCTTCAAGCGAAGCGTCTCGCCGATCGTAAAGCCAAGCGTCACAAACATGGTAACAATCTTGGAGCGTCGTAACTCTGGCCCTATGTAAGCTAGGGGGCTGAAATATCATCTTCAAGCCCCACCTTTTCATATTTTGATGACGTTTCGTGCACTACAAAACCCCATCCTCAATGAATCAAATCAAAAAATCGTCCGATTTTAATCAATTTAATAATTTTTGACGTAACAACCATCAAAAGTTGACGTCGTCCGATCGCGACCAATTTTGGTGGGTAGGCTATGTGAGCAACTGTGCACAGGGTCCCACCCTGAAAAGTTAGATACGACGTTTCATTTACATCTTCATCAGGGTGGAACAAAGGATTTCATATTGAAAAAAATTTGGGTCAATTTCGGCATAAATCGTCAGGATTTTTTTCTTAATTTATGGGTCGTCGATTCAAACCAAACTCGGCAAGTGGATAGAGGTACTCGAATGGAGTCCTCAGACGGACAGACGAACACACGGAATTTAATGAAAATTTGGTATGTCGATAGATTGAACCAAGGCTAACTTAACCGTATACGACACGTGTCACTGTGACAGTTAGTTTTGACGTAAGAAACGTCAAAATTTGATGTCCTCCTACCGTGACCATTTTGGTGGGTAGGCTATGTAGCCGACCGACGACGGTGCACAAAGTCCCACCCTGCGAAGTTGGATTTTACGACGCACGGTGGGGTATTAGCATAAAAAGGTGATCGAAATTCGAAAAAGCAAATGTGTTTAAGATTTCCCAAAAAAGATAACGACCAATTTTGGTGGGTAGGTTTAGTATGAGCAACTGTGCACAGGGTCCCCACCCTTCTCACAGATACGACGTTTCATTTACATCTTCATCAGGGTGGAACAAAGGATTTCATATTGAAAAAAATTTGGGTCAATTTCGGCATAATTGGGGACTGACTACAGGACGACGTCCTCGACGTTTCGAACCGATGCCTCTAAATGGACGAAATCGTCAAGATTTTTCTTAATTATGGGTCGATTCGAACCAAACTCGGCACGTGGATAGAGGTACTCGAATGGAGTCCTCAGACGGACAGACGAACACACGGAATTTAATGAAAATTTGGTATGTCGATAGATTGAACCAAGGCTAACTTAACCGTATACGACACGTGTCACTGTGACAGTTAGTTTTGACGTAAGAAACGTCAAAATTTGATGTCCTCCTACCGTGACCATTTTGGTGGGTAGGCTATGTGACTGACGATGGTGCACAAAGTCCCACCCTGCGAACTTGGATACGACGTTTCGTTTACATCTACATCAGGGTGGGATTAAGGATTTGATATTGAAAAAAAATGTAGGTCGATTTTGGCATAATTAGGGACGGGCTACAGGATGACCCCCTCGACGTTTCAAACAGATACCTCTAAATCAATGAAATCATCAGGATTTTTCTTAATTATGGGTCGATTGGAACTAAGCTCGGCACGTGGATAGAGGTGCCCGAATGGAGTCCCCAGACAAGGACAGACAGACAGACAGAAGTAAGAAGTTTCACTTCAAATATGCGCACATAGTGCACACACAATTTTTTTTTAAGTACGACTGGAGAATATAACTAGATATAAAGAGGGCCACAATAGGTAGGGAAAGGTCACACTATGATAAAAAGTAATAAAAATAATTCTATGGACAAATTACAAGGTTATTATATACAGGGTTGTTCACCACATACGACACGGAGTATTGTAGCTAAACGATTAGATTTTTACAAATTGAAAGTTTTGGGTTCGTTGAAGGACTATTAGAGCTACAATTTAAAAATATTTTTACATGATACAGAGTGTCCCAAATAAATAAAAAATATCAAAGTTATATTTTTTTAAATGAAACACTCTGTATATTATTTCATTTTTAGTTTCTACGATTAAAATATAGGTAAAAATTTGATTAAGGTTTATCACACTTAAACCTTACCGTTTTTGAAATATTTTCAATTTTGTAAAATTGCAGTAAAATTTTTAAGGCTTCATTTCTCCAAGAGTACCAAAGTTTTTATTATTAAATATTTACTGAAGTTTATTTACTGATCAGTTATTGTGTTGCAATAATAAAAATAATACTACCACATACAGAGTGTCTAAAAATTTATTTTAAATAATTACTAGCTTTAAACGGCAATAACTTGTTTAATTTAAATGGAACACCCTATATATTTTAGGAGAATCAGATGCACAATTTAATTGTCTATCAAATTGTATTATACCATTTGTTACCTATCCCTTCAAGTTTTCGTAGAAAATGCATTTTCTTATAATTTACACATCAATTTATCAATAAACCCATGGAATATTGACATTTTAGATTGTTTTTAAAGCAAAGAATGTATAAAATGTACATGTGCTAAAAACGATAATTACTAGCCCATTTGTATACAAAAAGAAAACTATTTAAATCTTTATAAAATAGTATACCAATAATTAAATATACCACCAGTATTTCCGCCCAAATACTAATTAATTACATACTTAATTGAATCATTTATTAACATAGTTAATCAATGATTTTAAATAAATGTGGATTTGAATCTGAAATCAATATAATAATAAGTTATGAAAATGAACGTCCCTGTTGTTATAAATAAGTATTCGTCAAAAAATGAAATAATATTTTTAAGGTGTTACTTTTTACCACACTGTCTAATACACATACAAAAGTCAGTTTTTTAGTATTATTAGCAATTATTATTAATCAAAGCAAACAGTCAATTAATGTAGTTTGAATACTGGAATCATATTAATTGGTCCACTTTAACAAATATTTAGAACAGTTTTTTTTTATTTTTAATGAAATTAACCAACTTTATCGACAATATTAGTATCTGTTCTCTTTAAAAATTTGTTACATCTTTAAAAATAATCTAAAATATCAATATTCCATGGGTATATTGATAAATGAGGTCTAAATTATAAGAAAATGCATTTTCTACAAAAAATTGAAGATATAGTAAAAAATGCTACAATACAATTTGATAGACAATTAATTTGTGCATCCGATACTCCTAAAATATACAGGATGTTCCATTTAAATTAAACAAGTTATTGCCGTTTAAAGCTAGTAATTATTTAAAATCAATTTTTAGACACTCTGTATGAGGTAGTATTATTTTTATTATTGCAACACAATAACTCATCAATAAATAAACTTCAGTAAATATTTAGTATTAAAAACTTCGATACCCTTGGAGAAACGAAGTCTTAAAATTTTTGCTGCAGTTTCACACAATTAAAAATATTTCAAAAACGGTAAAGTTTAAGTGTGATAAACCTTAATCAAATTTACCTTTATTTTAATCGTAGAAACTAAAAATGTAATAATATACAGGGTGTTCCATTTAAAAAAATACAACTTTGATATTTTTTATTTATTTGGGACACTCTGTATCTTGTAAAAATATTTTTAAATTGTAGCCCTAATAGTCCTGCAACGAACCCAAAACTTACAATTTGCAAAAATCTAATCGTCTAGCTACAATACTCCGTGTCGTATGTGGTGAACAACCCTGTATATGAATAAATCAGTCATACTATTATTAAATAATGAAAGATAAGTAATATTAATAACAATTTTGTTTCAATTAAAAAACAAGTTTGGAAAAAGGAGATGTTGATATTCCACGTAATTTTATAGTTCACCGAATACAGTTTTATATAAGCTGGAACAGAACAGAATAATTGCAAAGCAAATGAAATTTTAGATCGCGACATTACAGGATTGTTTTTTTATTAAATCAGATTAAATCTGAAATCAAATTAAAGAGTGGTTTAATTTAACGGGTATTGATTTTTTATAATTAAATTAGTTATAATTATAAAATAGCTGTAATATGCGTATATGTTATCATTCAAATAAAGGTAGTGAAAATGTTATAAAAATGATGCTGTATAATTGGACAAACGAAGGACTCGCTCAAGCAAGGTGATTTTATTTGTACTAATTTTAATCAAGAGATATTGTGCTTTAGAAAGTATTCTGGATTTTTATTTTTCACTGAGAAATTACTGATTTTAGAATTTCTTGTTTTAATATAAAATATAAATTGTTTATTATTTAGGACGTTCGTCGACTCTAACATTCAACATACCCTAGGATGGAACCTAAGTCCTGACGAATTGATTCATGTACCTGAACACTGGCAAAGTTATCCAGAACCCGATAAAAGTTTGCATTTACTGTTGGGAATGGTTTATATATTTTTCTTTATAGCCTCGATGATTGGAAATGGATTGGTTCTATGGATATTTACAAGGTATACAGGGTGTTTCAAAAAACATGTGCCATCTCTCGTGGGGAGATTCCTCACGTAAAAATACAATTTATTTTTATATAAACATAGGTTCGATTCTGCTTTGTTTCGTAGCTTATAATTTTATTCCATGTACTTTTAGTGATTCGAATAAAATTTTGGGAGTACAAGTTAGTATATAAGTGCTAAATATTTTATTGCTAAGAAAGTGTCGATAAATTCATCAGGGACGTGCATATGGGTTATCACTATAATATTTTTCAAAAAATATCAGAACTGTGTGGGTCGTTTAATGCCAATTAAAAGTTGTCTCTCGATATTTTGTCGAATTCGGCCTCCTTGATGAGATAAACGCAGTTTTATTAATCGCAATTAATAAAATTTAAATAAAAATAAAATTAATAAATTATATATTTTACCTAATTTATTATTAAATATTATTACTATTAGTCCAACCTAGAGCAATTTCAAATAAAAAAATAATGGTATTTAAGATGATTACAAAACACCTAATTTTAACATCCTGTAACTCTAAAATTATGCATTGCCATACCCATGTTTATAGGAACTTTTTTCATATTTTTTGATGAGGAATAAATGAGTACTTATTTAAAATTCCCGCAAGTTAATGATATTAATTTTTTTAAAGGTTGCTTTAGACTTGGATCCAGGCAAATTAATAAAATTGCATTTACCTCATCAAGGAGGCCGAAATCGACAAAATATAAAGAGACAACTTTTAATCGGCATTAAACTGCTTACGCTATTTCGCTAACAAAAGAAAAAAATTCAGTGGCGTACATGCTTTTTTTCAGAAAAATATTCCAGTGATAACCCATATGCACGTCCCTGGTGAATATGTAGACACTTTTGGCTTTAAAATATGTCGCATTTATAGTAATTTTTACCAACAAAATTTCTTTCGAAACGCTAAAAGTACTTGGAAGAAAATTATAATAAATCAAAAAAATATTAAGACTTTAACACCCTGTAACTACAAAACAAAGCGGAATCGGACCTATATGTTGATATGAAAAATTAACCTTGTTTTAACGTGACAAATCTCATCTCTCCACGAGGGATGGCACATGTTTTTTGAAACACTCTGTATAAACATTTTGTGCACGAAAAAAACACGACGTCAGAGATGGCTTGGAAATGAATGCTGTCATTTTATATGTAAAATTGAATGGGGAATATCATCGACCTTCTTATTCTTTCTTATTTCCAAGACAAAAGGACACCTTTTTTCAATTATTAAAGGGCGATTGCGATATCTATATATATCGGAGATTTTTTGTACATCATTGTTTCACAACGAGATCTATCGAATAAAAATGTTTTCAATATTGCGGCACTTCTGGAAATACCCGAAGTTGGCAGCAACTTTCTTATTTTAAATGGATACCCCCATTTTTTATTACATATTTAAATTCTCTGTAAAATTTTATGAATTTTGATATCAAACACTATGTCTAACATTAACCGTTTTTAAGAAAAAAAAATATTTAAAATTTTTGGAGGAAAAACTGCCTGTCAATAAAAATTGTATAGTCTAAACGTCAAATCATAGATAAATGCAACAAGTTTAGATTGGAAAGCCCGTAAAAATTTTAGGTCGCGAAATTATTTTGGGTCGCGACCGTTATACGCGATCTGGCGCTGTTATAGCGGTCGCTAAGAACAACGGCAAACAAAAACAAAAATAATTTTCTCTTGTCAAAGTCAGAATCTTCAAAAATCATAATAATCTTTCAAAATCTAAACCGCTCTAATTAAAGAAATTCCGAAAAGTGTTTATAGCGTTCATTTTCAAAGTAATTATTGCTATCTTGTGAGTTTAATTCAAGTTTTATTTACTCCAACCGGTGATAATTGTGAAAAAGTGGCATTAAAAACTTAAAAAGCTGTGCTGTGAACTTTGAACAGCAAAAACCATCGTGGATCGTGGCATAACGTCTGTTTCCAATCCGGAAGTGCCGCCATATGAAAATAGTTTTAGTCGATGTGAAACAATGATGTGCAAAAAATCTCCGATCTGTCTATTGTAGTTCTCTAGCACAGGAGTTCGTAGTTCTCTCAGCACAGGATTAGTAGCGCTCAAGAGCATTCTGGAAATTAAAAGACAGGGTTTTCTACAATCATGACTTGAGTACAAAAACAAAACTTGCAGTATACCGAGCAATTATAATCCCCACCATGATATATGGGAGCGAAACCTGGGTGCCTTACCGCCGACACATGAACGCATTGAACAAGTTGCAACAGAGACACCTTAGACAACTCTTAAGAGTCCGGTGGTTCCATCATGTCTCAAACGTATCGGTCCTTGAAAAATCTAACTGCGAGAGTATTGAAGTCATGGTCACAAAATCCCGCTTAAGATGGGCTGGTCACGTATGCAGAATGCAAGAAAACCGCATACCAAAATCTCTGCTTTACGGTGAGCTTGTGGACGGTAAGAGGAGGCCGGGTGGACAACTGAAAAGATACAAGGACATTTTCCACGAAAATTTAAAGGGAATTAACATGCAGAATGAGTGGGAAAAAGCAGCTCACAATAGAACTCAATGGAGAAGGGTTGTAAACTCAGTTAACAGCGGCAACCAAAAAGTAGAGAGGCAACAAAGCAATGAGATTTTTGAATGTCCGGAGTGCGGTAGGCAGATAACATCACGTATCGGGCTTTTCAGTCACAGAAAAGCTCATGAAAGAAACGCCCTATGAAAATAGTTTTAGTCGATAGATTTCGTTGTGAAACAACGATGTGCAAAAAATATCCGATCTATTTATTGTAGTTCTCTAGAAACTTAATGAACGCTCAGCTTGGGACACCCTGTATATCATATATTCAAAGGTTGTTGAAATATTGAAAATTTTAGTGTCATATTATCACAATATGAGTTTGTATAATAATATTTATATACCTATTTCTTTTATTTTTAGCGCAAAATCTTTAAGAACTGCTTCCAATATTTTCGTTGTAAACTTGGCATTTTGTGATTTTCTCATGATGTTAAAAGCGCCAGTTTTTCTTTATAATTCGTTCCATTTTGGTTTTGCCTCGGGCCATCTAGGCTGTCAAATTTTTGCAGGGATGGGAGCACTTTCTGGAATAGGAGCAGGTAATATAATAATTATAATAATAAATTGTGTAAGAATCTAGTTTATAAAAATAAAATTAAATTTTATTCTTATAAAATGAAGATTAAATAACTAAGATTTAATATTACTTACTTATTGTCAAATTCATAATCATTCTGATCTAAACAACTATATTATATTAATTATTATATTAACTATAGATAAGTTATTTTGTTATTTCTTTCAGGTATGACTAATGCAGCAATTGCCTATGACAGATACACAACAATAACAAAACCATTTGATGGAAAAATTACCAAAATGAAGTCAATAGTCATAGTACTTTTCATATGGTTTTATACGATACCATGGACTGTACTACCTGTAACTGAAATGTGGGGTAGATTTGTTCCAGGTAACTGAATGCAAATACATGTTTGTGTCAGTCAATTGTAATGAGTTCTAACCAATTGTCTCTATCTACAACACACCCCATATTTTCCTAGTATGACGTTCCAGTAAATTAATTCACCTGTCAAAGCCTGGTCTTGTCTCTTCCTTCTTCCCTGATGGCGTTGATTCTATAATAATTATAGAATCTTATTGTTTTATTTGTATATTTCAAAATAATGTCCCTATTTTTATGGCGAGTTAATTTCTTGAAAACCTGTACTTATTATTTGCAGAGGGATTTCTGACAGCATGCAGTTTCGACTATCTAACAAGAACATTTGACAATCGACTATTTGTGGGAGCCATTTTTACCTTTTCCTACGTAATACCAATGCTTATGATCATTTATTTTTATAGTCAAATTGTGAGCAAAGTATTTTCTCATGAGAAGGCTCTTCGGGAACAAGTAAGTGAGTAGATTGATAAGGGGATTTTTGCATCAGTGGCAACGGTGGTGGATAGTGATGAGCAAATGCAAGATCACGACCAAGACTCTCATGGTCTTAGACTTGTAATTCTTGTATTTTTTAATAGATTTTTACTAGAGGCACCCTCTACATAGAACATCTTTAACTAAATAGTATTTTTAGTAATGCAATGAAGAAAAGAAAATTAAATCAAATTTTATTCTTATAAAATGAAGACTAGAAAATAACTAACATTTAATATTACCCTTGTTTATGTATATTACTTACTTATTGTCAAATTTATAAACATTAAAAAAAATTAAAGAAAGAAATGTTGGAATATTTGTCTGATGATAATTTATATTTTTCAATATACTATATTAAACCAGTGTTATTTACTTTAAAATTATATATCTATAGTCGGGGAAACACTGTTTGTAATAAATAACGACAATAATTACGTAAAAAATGCAGGACCGCAAGAGTCTTGCACGCTTTATCTTGATCTTGCGGAAGTCTTGAACTGGTCGGTCTTTGTTTTGGTGCTGCTTTTTGTGCAAAACTAAGATCAAGGTCAGTGTCGCTCATCACTAAGGATGGAAGAATAAAACTTTTCTTTCATTTTATTTATTCATTTAAGCTATTTTTTCCTTTTTAATGTTTTTTTTTGTTTTTAGCGTTTTTTTTTCTTATTTATACATTTTTTCTGACATTTATTAGCGGTTTTTACTTGTGTTCTCTTATGTTTTCTAAATGTGGCTATATTTAGATATTTTAAATAGTTGCCTGTTTAGTCTTAAGCATTTTTTGTTGGTTAGACAAAGTTGTTTTACAAGTCAAATGCGAAAGCGTATTGAAATATACAAGGTGTTCCTTAATGGCATGCTAGTATTTAAGGGGGCGATCTTTAACGAACTTAATTTAAGAAAAAAAAAACTTTATATATGTCCTCAACTTTTTAACTTTTGAGATACAGGGTGGTATAATTTTCTAAAATCTTCTAAAACTCTGAGTTTATTATAATAATTATCTTTATGAAATTTCATACACGTCTTCTATGCATAAAACTGTTTTTTTTTTGGTGTACAACATTTTTTTGTTGCATCTTTTAATTTCCATCTAGCCAATGCGAAAACGAACACACCAGTCACCGCATCAGATTTTTAACGATTTGGCCCTAAAGTAAAATGATTCTTATTTTTTTAAGCTAAAACTATGCATCCAACGAAAAAAAATCTGGAGATGACAATTATTTAGAAATGAATGAAGATTTTGAAAATAATTTTTATTCTAAGGGAAGTCAGTGACGCGCCATCTTTTTCTTCAAAAATAGGCAATGCAAAACCCGTATGGGCGCCGCAGGTTGAAATAAATAAAACTATTTGTACATCAAAATAGGCATTTTGATGCATAGAAAACGTTGTACCAAGTTTCATAAAGATATTTACAATAACATCAGTTATTATAAAAAAAAATTAGAAAAATTTACTACCCTGTATCTCAAAAGTTAAGGCATTTAGGACACACATTCATATGATGTTTTTCCTTAGAATATGTCCAAGAATCACCCCCTAATTAGCATGTCATTAAAGAACATCCTGTGTATATTTTTTATTTATATATTTCTCTCTTAGTAGTGAAATTCCCAAACATCTTTCAAGGAACCGTTTTATTTTTAATATTTATTTATCTTTTAGGCTAAAAAAATGAATGTAGAATCTCTGAGGGCAAACCAGCAAAACACAGAATCCGCCGAGATAAGAATCGCCAAAGCTGCTATTACAATTTGCTTTCTATTCGTTTTATCTTGGACACCATATGCGGTACTTGCCTTGATTGGAGCATTTGGCGATCAAACGTTACTAACTCCTGGAGTTTCCATGATACCAGCACTCAACTGCAAACTAGTAGCATGCATTGATCCATATATTTATGCGATCAGTCATCCAAAATTCAGGTAATAACAAATATCAGTTAACATAATATATGACGGCTATTCATACATATCAGTTAAGAATTGTTCTCCAATTGAGTGAGTTACCTAGTTATAATGGTTTTCTCTTAATATTTGCGGAATGAGTAACTGTACAGACGACGAATTAGCTTCGATTGCTGTAGGTATTGATAAAGAAGAGGTAACTCACACCCGAAAAACTTGGTTGGAAAAGAAAATTGGAGGAGAATTCGTTACTCCTATTCAATATTTCAGTACTCATCAGGAATTAATCGATAACTATTTTTTGCAGATTGGAGTTACAAAAGAAACTACCATGGTTAGCAATCAAAGAAAAAGAAGTGAGTGACACTCAATCTGTTGCTTCCCAGCAAACTGCAGTACCGCCACCATCTACTACATAAGATGGCATCTTGGAATTATGATCGGATACACCTACCAGTGCTAACAGACTACACAGACTACCTACTATACGTTAGTATTTTGTGTTATACAATAACTGTATTTTTCAATTGAAAATAAAATAAAAAATATAGATCTAACTGTCTTTCCTTTTTTTGATATTATAAAGAAAATCCACATTTACGTATAGTATTTCCGAAGTCACATGGATTGATTCCGGGCTCTTTATTTCGGCACTACAAAAACAGTATTTAAAAAAAGTGGTTTATTTTTGAAGCAGAAACTTCTTTACGCGCTAGGAGTAAAAATTCAAGGCCGTGACCCCACATGGCACACGAGAATAAAAGTGTCCAAGGACGGCCTATGCCTTACAAAAAAAGTCGAGATGGGTTTTGAAACATCGTAACATGGGCCCCTATGTAAGCTAGGGGGCTGAAACTCTAGGGGAATATAGAGGAGCTGAAACTCTAGGGAAGGTAGATGAGGCTCAGAAGAGACTCTCTCTCCGGTCAAAATCTCTGCAAAGTCTCGGTCTAAGTCTCTTACGGTCAAAATACCATCTTTTCATGATATTTTGACGACGTTTCGTGCACTACGAAACTCCATCATCAATGAATCAAATCAAAGAATCGTCCGATTTAAATGAAATTTGGTATGTTAATAGATTCGACCAAGGCCAACTTGACCATGTACGACACGTGTCAGGGTGCATCCACATCGTCTTTTGACAGATGAATTTGGCAGCAATTTTATTGGCTGAAAATTGATACAAGGTCGTTACGCCGATACACCCTCTTACGCCGATACACCCTCACTGTAATAGTTAGTTTTGACATAAGAATAACGTCAAAAATTGATGTCCGATCGCGGCCCAATTTGGTGGGTAGGCTATGTGAGCGAGGTACCCACGGTCCTACCCTGCAAAGGTAGATACGACGCCGACGTTTCGTTTACATCTTCATGTAGGTCGATTTCGGCATAATTAGGGTAAGATTATATTTTAGGAAAATTTACACACGAAATTATTGCACAGGGTGTTTTAAAGTTAGGATAAAAAAACAACCCCTCGATTAACCCTGTATAATATCCCAATTACTAAAGTTTACAAAAAACTGAGTTTACGAAGTAAAGTTGATATAATCATATACAGTTTGCTAAAAAAATTCATGCAAATAGGGCTAAAAATAAAAAAAATATAACACTTTAAATTTGACCAAAAATTTCTCTGTTGCGTTTTTTTTGCATCTGAGTGTATTAAGGTATTAGGTACATCAATTTTTCAGTGATCTGTATATTTTTGATCTTTTATCATTTGACCATTTTCATCATTTTCGCAACCAATATTCTCAGGGTAGAAGTAAAAAAACTGATTATAATACGATTATCAGTGGAATATTCATCTAGTGCTCACATATTTAGTTAAATATATTAAATAAATTAATAGTTTTTCAAAATGTTAAACATCGCACACAGCCAATTATTAAAACAATATATATTGCTTGTGTGATGCGAACTGAATAACTCCAGAGGCAAGTCTCATGTTTATCTCTGATTTCATGATGTCATCTCAATAAATCGACATAAGTAAATTTTTAATAACTAAATTTAGCTTTTCATTAAAAAATATTAATTGTTTCAATAAACTTAACTTCCTGGAAAAATATTTGAAAACGGCCGTTGTAAAAATAAAACATATTTACAATTAAGTAGCATTTTATTATCTTAACACTGTGTTACATAATATAATCCTATATGAGTATAATGAATCAGACTGTTCATAATTCATAACACATTTTCATTATTTTAAGTTTATATCTAATTATGAATATATTACTAAATTCTGACTGAATTTATATTGAATTCCAATTTTCTGTTCTTCTATTAATAACCATACAGTCAACGTCTACATCGTACCTACACAATGGAAAAATATGAGTTTTCTAGCCAAACGTTTCCTAACCAACTATAGCATTGGTCCAAAATCAATACTTTGTCTTTCAAACATGCGTATCACGAATTCGATACATACATTCAGCTATTTTCAATACAGAAAAAAACTAAATAATCCCATTAACTGCAGAGAAACATTTTATAGGTGGAAATTTTACATGTAGATACCGTATGATCGAAAAAAAACGGAGTTGGCTTGGAAATGACGATCGTTGACATTCTCCACATAATTTTACATATAAAAAGACAGTGATCTTTATTCCATAGCCATCGCTGACGCCGTTTTTTTTCGATCATACGGTACTATAGATATTAGCATAAAAATTATCAAGGAGAGGGGGAGGGAAGATTTACAATGAAAATTATATAATAGTGAATTGGCATTACTCATCAGTATCGTCAACCATCCTTTTTTTCTCCAACTTTTATGGGGGAGTTCCCTCTGTATTTCATTTTGCTGGTGGACTTGAAGACTCTCTCGGTTCTGCAGTCATTGAATAACTTCAATAATTAAGGGGTAGAAATTGACATTGGATCTCTCCTTGGTTCAGCCCATCTAATTTAGCAAGGGCCTAAAATATTGATGTTGTATTTCTTTATCTCCTTCTCAACTTGAACAAGTGTACCCGATTGTGAGACTATTTTGGTATTCCATGTACTACATCGTGTCCTGTGTTTAAAGCCCAACATCGTCCATTAGTCTTGATAGATTCGTCAATCAAAAAGGGATTTCAGCCTGACGGGTAAGGTTGATATCTTTAGAGTCCAGACAAGCCTCAGGAGATACGATCATCGCAGATGGTAGTAGTATTTCCTCCCCTACCTCTTGTTAGTCTTAACAGGACTTGAACAGGACATACTGGTACCCTTTTAGTCGCCTTTTACGACAGGCAGGGTGTACCGCGGGACTATTCTAGTTATACCCCGGTCCCGCACAGGATCGCAACAATCTCACGAATTTTAAACTGCCTCTAAACTATTGGCGAAATAACCCGAAGTAGATCAAAGTCGAATAGTGAAGGACATTTCGTATTTTCTCGCCTAACTTTGCCTCGTCTCGCCTTATTTTCATTAGACGAGGAAATACGAAATAACCCCAATTTTCCATTCGACTTTGACCTGTTTCGGCCTATTTTGCAAGTGGTATAGTGGCCGTTTTAGGGTTCTCAAAGAACAGTGTAAGGTTTAAAATCACTTGCCACCTCGTATAAGAGTACAAATTTCGTATTGTAGACAATGTGTCGACAATAGACGTGATCTGTGTATGTAACCAAATGTCACGCACTTATTCATAGTAGACTAAGACGTTTGGTCGATAGATGTCTGAAATTAAAAGAGACATAAGACGTATTGGATCAGAAAGGTTCTGCCCCAACGGGACCAATACGGACACACGTTGTGACCCAAAAGGGCTCTTCTTAACAACAAGGCATATAAAAGAAAATTATATGTCCATCCGTAGTCTTTTTTCCTTAAGTTTCTGACACTAAACAGAAATTATCTTAGGACAATTGTAGGAGTCCTCACAGAACACTGGCCCTGGAAGGTCAAAATCATCTACAAGAAAGACGCCTTGTTTACGAGAAGATATAAAAAATATCTATTAAAGACAATGCATGTATAAAGTACGTCTGCTGGATCTGTGTCTATGAAAGGAATGCGGACAAAAAACATTTAAATAAACAGCAATATATTTTATACGTCGACTTGACGAGTACGTCACTGCAAATCGCTCCGCCCACTCATTTTATTGGCTACTTGCAAATTTGTCGAATTTTTATTGATGGGACGCGTCGTCTAATTTTTTACGAAAAACATCGAGAGAATATCGTTTCCCCTCTCACGGATACTCCGTAGCTACAGAACGGACAGACGTACTGTAGACTGTTCACGGAGAGAATATACGATTTTGACATATTACATCTAAAAACCAGTAAACCATGCAACGTTTTGCAAAATTTTCGATGTCTAAATTTAAAGTTATGATTTTTGGTCGTTCTTTATTAAAATAGACCCATAATGTTAAACATTTTTGAAAAGCTTATAAAAGGACAAATTAATTGCTTGGCAAATATATAGGGTGTCCCATTTAAAACCCCGTAAAATCGGTTAATATCTCAGAAACGGTAATATTAAGAAAAAACATTAACTATATCAGTGAATTCCGCGTAAAATGTCGTATAACTATCCGTTGATATCTTTTTGATAGGTTGTCAGACAACTGAGAAACCAGAGGTGTCTTTTTTGTTAAAATCATCCTGTATCTTGAAAACTAAGGAGATCATGACAATTTTATCTACAAATGTTTGGTTTCGCAAAAACGTACTCAGGATCGCAAAATCCTCAAGATTCTAGCTTTGCTAATAAGAGAGATAACCCTCTTTTGTAGCCAAAATGGGACACCCTGTACAAGAGCCTTATATACTGCAGTCAATTTGTATCACCCTCACGCCACCGAACATCATCAGGAAATACAAGTCAGCATCTGTAAAAGGATACAGTACTCTACGGAAATACAATACAGAGCATGTTAAGTGTCCTTTGTTGGTGTCTTGAAAGCTGATTTCCAATGAATTCTATAACTTAACTATTTTTATTTTAAGTTTTATGATTCAATGGCGAAATACCCAACAGTATTTTAACAATATTACAAGAAAATAATATTACAGTAATTCATTTCAATTAAATATATTGCTCAAGTAACTATGAAATACATAACAAATATGAAGTATATATACAAATGAAATGAATATTAGTTACTGTCACAACAAATAATTCTTATAATAACCATTACATTTTAAGTTACTGATAAATAAATCTGATATGAATTAGTTACAGAAAGATAAATTCTTATAAAATTACTTAAATGATATTATTACAATTTTGAACTGTAATGTTATAAAAGCAAAACTTGTATAATTTTAACGATGTAACCTATTATAATTTTATTACCTATTCCTATAAACAAAAATATTTGCACATTCACTCATACTGTAACAAAAAAAAGTTTATAATAAAGCCACGTCCAACACATAACGTTTTACCTGTCAGTCTTGTCTGTTCGGTCAAAACGTATCAAATAAAAGATTGTGGGTAGACAAAAAGTGGACGTTTTACTTGAACTAAATTAAGACGGAATACTGTCTAGAGAACTGAGGGAATCATTCAA